CAGTAAGTAGTAAGTATTAGGAGTAATTAGTAGTAGTAGTAGTAGTAGTAGTAGTAGTAGTAGTAGTAGTAGTAGTAGTAGTAGTAACAGTAGTAGTAGTAGTAGTATTAGTAGTAGTAGTAGTCGTCTTAGTAGTAGTGGTAGTAGGAGTGGTAGTAGTAGTAGTAGTAGTAGTAGTAGTAGTAGTAGTAGTAGTAGAGTAGTAGTAGTATTAGTAGTAGTAGTAGTAGTAGTAGTAGTAGTAGTAGTAGTAGTAGTAGTAGTAGTAGTAGTAGTAGTAGTAGTAGTAGTAGTGGTAGTAGTAGTTCTAGTAGTAGTAGTACGAGATGTAGTGCGAGAAGAGTATAGTAGTAGTAAGAGTAGTAGTGTAGTAGTAGTAGTAGTAGTAGTAGTAGTACAGTAGTAGTAGTAGTAGTAGTAGTAGTAGTAAAAGTAGTACTAATCGTGGGAGAAGAAGTAGTAGTATATGTCTTTTCGAAGCCGCTCGGAGGCCTCTTGGGGCGTCTTCGGCGCCTCTTGGGGCCTCTTGGGCACCTCTTGGGGGTATCTTGGGGGCCTGATGGAGGCCTCGTGGTGCCTCCTGGGGACCTCCTGTGGGCCATCTGGGGACCTCTTGGGGCCATCTGGTGGACCTCTGGGGGCCCTCTTGGGGGGCTTGTATGAGCGCTGCCCCTCCTCCTGGTGTGACTCGTTCGGGCTCCTCGTGGTGTGAGTCGTTCGAGGCCCGCGTCGTGGTGTGAGTTGTTCGGGCTCCTCGTGGTGTGAGTCGGTCGGGCGATTCGTGGTGTGAGTCGTTCGGGCCCCTCGTCCTGGTGTGAGTCGATCGGGCTCCTCCTGGGGCCTCTTGGGAGCCTCTTGGAGGCCTCTTGGGGCCTCTTGGGCGCCTCTTGGGGGCCTCTTGGGGGCCTCTTGGGAGCCGCTTGGGGGCTCTGGGGGCCTCGTGGGGGCCTCTTGGGGGCCTGTTGGGAGCCTCTGGGGGCCTCTTGGGGGTCTCTTGGTGGCCTCTTGGAGGCCTCTTGGGAGCCTCCTGGGGACATCAAGGCGCCATCTTGGGGGCCTCGTGCGACCTCCTCAGAAGCGCAAATGAGCGCTACCCCCTGAAAAGGACAGAATGAGCCCAAAACCCTCGTAAAATGAATGATTTTGCTAGGAAGGAAGATGAGCGCGGCCCCCTCGGGAGGCCAAAATGAGGCCGAAACCGTAGTAAAAGCAAGGATTTTGGCTTCACAGAAGAGGAGGGGGCTCCAAGAGCGCCCCCCCGTCGGGGCCAGAATCCTCGTGAGGGTCATCGTTTTTTGGCCCTCCCAGGCGTCGAAAAAGACCCCCCCTGACCACCACCCAGGGGGAGGGGGTAGGGGAGGGGTAAACCCCTCCCCGAAGGGGAAGAAGGGGGGTTGGGGGGTTGAGGACAGAGGGGGCTCTCTAAACCACTCACGCCCAAAGGGCTGGTGGGATTCACGCCCACTTGTCCTCCAAGGTCGGGGTTCGTGACAATATCAGGTTCGTTTCTCAGTATCTTGCCCTGGGGGGGTCTGGGGGGGGACCCCCCGGGACGCCCCCCCCGGCCACGGGGGGAACGCCGGCAGAAGCCGGCGGAAGACGGCCGCAATTCTGCAGACGCGCTTCCGGGAGGCATGGGCGGCTCGAAGAGGGTCCGGAAGATGCCCCAAGAGGGCCACGAGTCGCCGACTGAACGGCCAAGACGGCCCAAGGAGCCCCCAAGACGCTCCCAGAGACCTCCAAGAGGCCCCCCAGGAAAACCCCAATAGTCAAAATTCGTTAGTTTCCCTTGGGTTTTTGAAGGTTTTGTGTGTTTTCGCCTTTTCGGCTTTCCGACGCTGCAAGTCGGCCCAAGGGGCTCCAAAGATCGCTCCCAGACGGCTTCAAAAGCCCCCAAGACCGCGCCCAGACGGCCCAAGACGCCCTCAAGATGGCCTGCGAGGCCTCCAAGACGGCCTCTCAAGGCCCCGGGCACGCCCGAAGAGGGCCCCCAGAGGGATAGCAGGGACCGCCAATTTGGAGGCTCCGCCCGAAGAACCCCCCACGAGGCTCCAGGAGCTCCCCAAGAGGGCCCCAAAGGGAAAGCAGGGACCGCCAATTTGGAGTCCCCGCTCGAAGAACCCCCCACGAGGCGCCAGGAGCCCCCCAAGAGGCCACCAAGAGGCGGCCAAGAGGCCCCCAGGAGACCCCCCAGAGGCCCCAAGAGATCACCAGAAAGCTGCCAGAAGCGCCCAAAAAGCCTCACGACTGTCCCTAGAGGGCCCCAGGATGGCCGCAGGCGCATTACATCGTCATAACGGACAGCACGAGAGCCAAGATAATAGACCCTACAGGGTCCTCTGTCCTGTGCCGGTGGCTCGCATGGTGGCGTGCTGAACTCCCCTCGCACCCAGATTGCCAAAGAGGGCCCACGGATGGCCGCGAACGCTTCATAACGTCAAGACGGACAACACGGGAACCAGCATAACGTCAAGACGGACAACACGGGAACCAGCATCACATCCGTCGCTTGGCCATTCTTCTCGCCACATCTGCACACGCACGGCCCTTGCAAAGCCAGTGGCTCGCATGGTGGCGTGCTGAGCTCCCCGCGCCGGACTTCATTCTCTCCCATCCCAGATGGGCCCCCGGATGGCCGCAAACGCTTCACATCGTGGAAACGGCCCCAGACTGGCCGCAAACGCGTCATTTCGTACACGTGGACATGAGACCCAACATAATAATACCCATAAGCATCATCTTCTCTCCTGGTTTCATTCTCCCAAGCCACCGCCCTCTGTTCTTCGCCGGTGTCTCGCATGGTCACGTGCTGAGCTCACCCCTGCCTCTCCCTGAGCGCCTCCCCGCCCTCTGTTCTTCGCTGGTGGCTCGCATGGTGATGTGCTGAGCTCACCCATGCCTCTTCCTGAGCGCCTCACATCCGTCGCTTGGCCACTCTTCTCGCCACATCTGCGCACGCACGGCCCTTGCAAAGCCAGTGGCTCGCATGGTGGCGTGCTGCGCTCACCGCGCCCGAGCTCCTTTTCTCACATCCCAGACGGGCCCCAGGATGGCCGCAAACGCTTGATATCGTGGAAACGGCCCCAGACTGGCTGCAAACGCGTCATATCGTAGACGTGGACGTAAGACCCAACATAATAACACCCATAATCATCATCTTCTCTCCTGGTTTCATTCTCCCAAGCCACCGCCCTCTGTTCTTCGCCGGTGGCTCGCATGGTGACGTGCTGAGCTCCCCCCCCCGCTTTTTCCCGACCTGGAGGAGGGGTTCCCGTTTTGTATCCCCCTGGGAGATCTAGGGTGGGACCCCCTCTGGCTCCCCCCCGGTTCCAGACCCCCTCGCGTTGTAAAAAAATCATGCCCGGAGGTTTTTCGCTATGTTCCGCCTCTGGAGGCCCTTACCAGGCCTCGGGACCGTCAAAAAACGACGAGGATGAAAAACTGGTCCCAGGGCAGAGGTCCAGACCTTTGGGGGTCGACGTTGTGAAAAAACACGACGTCGGGGGTCTGGGATCACGGGCGGAACGCCAGCGGAAGCTGGCAGAAGACGGCCCCATTTTTGCACACGCGCTTCCGAAAGGCACGGGCGGCCCCAAGATTGTCCGCAAGATAGCCCAAGAGAGCCACGAGTCGCCAACAGGTCGATCCAGACCGTTCAAGATGGCCTCCAGTCGGCCCAGGAAGCCCCCAAGACGCCCCGTGAGGCCTGCAAGAGACCCCAAAAGAGAGCCCCACGAGTCAAAACTCATAGGTTTTACCTGGGTGCTGGAAGGTTTTTTCGCATTGTCGGCCTTCCGACGCTCCAAGACCCAAAGATCGCCCCGAAACGGCCCAAGAGGCCTCCGTGAGGGCGCCCAGGCGGCCCAAGACGCACCCAAGGCGGCCCAAGAGGCTTCCAAGACGGCCTAAGAAGGCCCCAGGACCTGGAACGCCCCAGGAGGGGCCCCAGAGAGGAGGCAGGAACCGACATGCTGGGCTCTCAGCCCAAAGAACTCCCCAGGAGGTTCCAAGAGGCCTCCAACAGGCCGCAAGCAGCGTGTGCGTAGTTATTTTTGCTCACGCCATTTTGGCTCACGGCATTTTCGGATCAAGTTTGCCGCCTAAGGCAAACGCCGACAACGACACACACGCACACACATCTTGATACCTTCAGATCTCATTTCGTACAAGTTCGGATCGGGCCAGCGGGCCCTCTAGAGATCCCTGTGCGTGGATTTTTTTAAAATGTAAGCAGGGAGTCTAACTGACTTGAACTGTTCATCGCAGGACACTGTTGCACGTGAGACACAAAGAGGCCGCAAGGAGCATCCAAAAGGGTCTCCAGGAACCCCCCAGAGGCCCCCAAGAGGGCCCCAAAACTCTCGTAGAGGGCCCCGAGATGGTCGGAGACGCCCCAGGGCCCGAACATTGCTCAACAGGGCTCCAAGATAGTCGTAGACGCCCCAACAAAGCGGCACAGCATCAAACGGACAACACGGCAACCTTCATACTGTGCCTAAAGTGCGGCACAGCGTCACACGGACAACAAGTGAATCAGCATTATGCGCCTTGCCGACGTCCTCTTCTTCCTTCGTTTTTCTCTTCCTCGCAAGTCACGCCCACTTGCCCTCCAAGGTCGGGGTTCGTGGCACTATCAGGTTCTTTTCTCAGTATCTTGCTTCTACTGTACCCGCTCCGCTCGAATCAATTGTCCTCTTACTCTTCGTTTTCCTCCTTTGTTCTTTCTGTATCTCTTGACCTTCGCTTCTGCCCGTTCCGGGCGGCGCGCGTCGTTGTCTCGGGGGCCACCCTGACCGCGCGTGGCCCGCTCGCTGCTTCCGCTGCTGCTCCTCCTGCTCTTCCTCCTCTTTTCTTCGCATCCTCCTGCTCTTCCTCTTCTTCTTCGCATCCTCCTGCTCTTCCTGCTCCTCCTGCTCTTCCTCTTCTTCTTCTTCTTCGCAGCCTGCTGCTGCTGCTCCTGCTGTCTAGCTTTCCCCTCCCCCTCCCCGCCGCCCCCGCAGGCGGCGGAGAACGTCGTGCAGATCGTGGCTGGCAGTCCTGCCGTGTACGCGTCCATAAAGGGCTCGGCGACCGTTGTCAGGAGAGCGGGTCCAAGCGCACGGACGCGTGAAAAGCAGCACCCAAGATCGGATTCATAGGTCGAGCGGTTCGCAAGCCGGTGGCGGTACGGGAGCGGGAGGAGGGGAGTAGGGGGACCAGTGTGAACCCAAGATGCATCAACGATATTGCAAGAGATCTTCCTTCCAAGTTCGCTTTTCATAGACCCCTACAGGAGTTGGTGTTGATTGTGGGTGTTGCCAAAATTGGAAGACAACCGTTTGCAGTCGTGCCAAAACAAAATTCCTGGGACTTCAGCGCCGCGAGTCAACTTGATTTCTGCGTCCTGGCTGTCAGGGACCTTGCCAGAATGCCATTCCTGGGAGTTTTGCACCGCGAATCAAAGCGGCCGTTGCGCTCTGACAGTCCTCAGTGGTATCGGAAGACCATTCCTGGGGCTCCAACCATACGAATTCTTGAAGTTGGTGCAAACTTTCAAGGCACATGGGCGCGCTGCTCAGGCGAGAGCCGCACTTGGAAAGTGAGCCGCCCTCCATTCTTGCAGCTGCTTCAAGATTTCAAGGTAAGAGTGCGCGGCGCTATGGGGGAGAGCCACATTTTGAAAGCGACCCGTCCTCCATCCCTGAAGCTGCTGTGGACAGTTCAGACGAAAGGGCGCGGCGCTACGCAGAGAGACGCGTTTTGAAAACGAGTCGCCCTCCACCCTGGAAACTGTTGTAAACCTTGCAGACGAATGAATGATCGCGGCGCTCAGGCGACAACCACGTTTCGAAAAGGACCCGCCCTCTATCCTTGAAACTGCTGCGAACCTTTAAGACGTATGTGCTCGGCGCTAAGGCGAGAACACCACGTTTTGAAAACGACTCGCCCTCCATCCTTGAGGCTGTTGCGAATTTCAAACTTCAGAGTCATAAGTGGTGAGGAAGTCTCAGGCGACGCGCCCAGCCTGCCCCATCGACACGTCTTGGGGTGCGACAGGGAGGAGTTACTTACATGGGAAAGTGTAGAGGAGGATGAGGAGGGGGAGGAGGAGGAGAAGGAGGAGGAGGAGGAGAAGGAGGAGGAGGAGGAGGAAGAGGAGGAGGAAGAGGAGGAGGAGGAGGAGGAGGAGGAGGAGGGCGGGGAGGGGGAGGAGGAAAGCATGACCGAGCGGAGGCAGTTGTGGGGCTGCAGATGCCCCAAGCATCCTGGACACGAGCTTGATGCAGCGCGGGCGCGCTACCCCGGCTGCCCCGCGGCGCTCGACCGCGGCTGCGCGCAGAAGCGGAGCACGGCCTGCTTGTTATTCAGGGGGCGATCTTGTTTGAGGAAGCCCGCGCCCTCTGGGATTGCCGCCCTGCTCGACCTGCCCCCTCGTGCGCACTGCCAGCGGCTCCTCGCCCGTGGGGTGCTCGCCTCGATCGCGCCCCGCAGGGTGCTGGGCGTGTCGATCATCGGCGGCGGCGGCACCTTCCTGTCGTACCAGGTTCAGGAGGGGAAAAACACACACAGACACAATTAATCGTCCACTCCCCAGAAAATATGGGAAAATATGGGAAGTGGGGGGGAAGACGAAAACCCAGAAAATATGGGAAAATATGGGGGATATTTTCATTTGTGTGTATCTATTTGGGTGTTTGTGGGCCCCTTCACAGGTGCTGTCCTCCAGGGAGGTGCACAAGGAGCTGGAGGAGGGGCCCCGGGCCGCGCTCCTGCTCCCTCGCTGCCTGCCTCTCCTGCCCTCCTCCTCCCGCGCTCGAGGTTCCCAGCGCCTTGGCTGCTACACCAAGGTCAGGAGGGGAAACACCCACACAGACACAAATGATCGTCGATCCCCTGGAAAATATGGGAAATCTTGGAATTGAGGGGAAACTATTGCCAGACGTTTCCCGACGTTTCCCGACGTTCCCAAACGTTTCCAGACGTTCCCAGACGTTTCCAAGACGTTTCCAGACGTTCGCAGGCGTTTCCATATGTTCCCAGACACCCCCACGCAATGCTTGAGGCTACCCAGCGGATGATTTGGTTGCCCGCGGGTTGTCTGGCGCAGCCCCGCGCTGTCCAGGCCGGCCAGGCCGCATGGCGAGGGGCCACACTGCGAGGCGGAGGAGCTGGGGCAGGAGGAGCAGGACGAGCAGCAGCAGCAGCAGCAGCAGCAGCAGCAGCAGCAGCAGCAGCAGCAGCAGCAGCAGCAGCAGCAGCGGCAGCAGCAGCAGCAGCAGCAGCACCAGCAGCAGCTGCAGCAGCAGCAGCAGGAGCAGCAGCAGCAGCGGCCGCAGCGGCAGCAGCAGCAGCGGCAGCAGCGGCAGCAGCAGCAGCAGCAGCGGCAGCGGCAGCGGCAGCGGCAGCGGCAGCGGCAGCAGCAGCAGCAGCAGCAGCAGCAGCAGCAGCAGCAGCAGCAGCAGCAGCAGCAGCAGCAGCGGAGAGGGTGAGCCCGGCGGGCGCAGGGCCAGGATATACCGCTCTCAGAGCGTTCTGGAGCGCTCTCAGAGAGCGTCCTGGAGCGCTCTGCAGCGGCCGCGGCGTCCGACACGTCTTCCCGCACCGTCGGGTCTCGGAGCTGCCCGGCTTCTCCCGGTCCGATGTCGTCCTGGTCTCGGCTTCGTCTCCGGAGGGGCGGGGGGGGGCGAGAGGGGGAGAGGGGGGCGAGAGGGAGAGGGGGGCGACGAGGGGGAGAGGGGGGGCGAGAGGAGAGAGGGGGGGCGAGAGGGGAGAGGGGGAGAGGGGGGTTGTGGTGGTGGGGGGGGGGGGGCGAGAGGGGGAGAGGGGGGCGACGAGGGGGAGCCCGGGAGCGGGGGAGGGGGGCGGGCGAGGCGCGCTCGGGGCGGCAGGTGTCCTTCCAGGACGTCGCCGCGATGCTGCCGACGTCGAACATCCTCGGCACGACCATCGCAGCAGGCGGCGGGGGTCCAGAGACGGGTGTGGCCCGTGAGAGCCTCCCTGCGCTCGTTCGCCTGCGGGCCCCCGAAGGGGGGGAGGGAGGGAGGGAGGGAGGGAGGGAGGAGGAGGAGGAGGAGGAGGAGGATGAGGGGGATGCTGATGCCGAGGATGCTGCTGCTGATGCTGTTGACGATGATGCTGCTGCTGCTGATGCTGCTGCTGACGATGATGAGGGGCAGGAGAAGGATCAGGGTGAACCCAGGAGGCGCCGACGATGCTGCAATGTGCCCTCCCGTCCCAACCACCCTCTCCACAGGTCCGGCAAGTTTTTTCCTTTCCGTTGTGGAATGCGCCTCCGTTGGACGATGCGCGCCCGCGGGGCCTGCCAGTCAGCCTTCTTGTTCAGGGAAACGAGAATGGATAGACCCATCACGCTTAAGGATCGAAAACTCTCGGTCCGCGCACACACGTACACGGGTCCTCGGGTTTGCCGAAGAGTCCAGTCAGTCAGCGGTCCGAGACGATGGCAGGCTACGCTCAAAGCCGGGCATGCACGGGCACGCACACACGCACACACTGCTTCTACTCGTCCGACGCGCCAATGAGCCCAACCAGCGGATGCAAGATGGGGGGTTGCCCTCAAAGCAAATTGGCGTCCGCGCGCGCACACACGTACAGGCACACATGCGGCGTTGGGCCAAGATGTTTGGACGACTCGTCGGCGGCGCCAGACGAGAGAGGGAGAGAGAGTCAGAACAAACAAACACTGTATTCCAGAGAGACTAGAGAGAGTGGGAAAGAGAGGGAGAGAGAAAGAGAAAGAGAGAGAGAGAGAGACATCGAAGGAGATAAGAGAGGGTCAGAGGCAAGTATAAAGCAAGAGAGAGGGATACTGTGAAAGAGAGAGAGAGAGAGGGGAAGGACAGAGAGGGAGAGAGAGAGAGAGAGAGAAAGAGAGACACAGAGACAGCGAGATAATAACGACACGTCTATATACATATATATATATAGAGAGAGAGAGAGAGAGAGAGAGAGAGCGAACGAGAGCGAGAGCGAGCGAGAGAGAGAGAGAGAAAGGAGGAGTGCAGGCGTCGTCTGCTTCTATGTCGCCATCGCCTTCATGATGGTGTTCTACCAGACGACGTGCCCGCTTCCTCTCCGCGGGGCTGCCTGCACCAGGGGGAGCGGCGGGCCCCTCTCCCTCCATGCGGCGCGGAACAGACAGCTGCGGCCGCTCCCTTCCCTCTTCCTCTCTCCGCTTTCCCCCCTCCCTCCTCCTCCTCCTCCTCCTCCTTCTCCTCCTCCTCCTCCCTCCTCCTCCCTCCTCTTTCCTAGTCCTCCTCCTCCTCCTCCTCCTCTTTCCTCCTCCCTCCTCCTCCTCCTCCTCCTTCTCCTCCTCTCCTCCTCCTCCTCCTCTCCTCCTCCTCCTCCTCCTCCTCCTCCTCCTCCTCCACCTCCTCCTCCTCCTCCTCCTCCTCCCCCCCCCGAACCCTCTCTACCAGCCTGGCCTCGGACGTGCGGTGGGCTGCGGCGCGCCCGGCCGCGACGCCTCTCGCCGTCCTGCCGCAGCTGCCTCGAGGCGCCCGCGCTGGAGGCGCAGCACGCGCCGTGCTCAAAAAACTCGCAGGCCTAGAGGTTGACACCAACACCAACATCGGCGGTGTGCCTCCACCGAGGGAGGACGATTTCGATCTCGGTGATGGTGGTAATATTCTGGCTTCAAGGTGACCGAAATATTACCACCAACACCGAAATCTAAGGCCATCTTCCCCATGTGGAGGCCAACGCCCTGTGCTGGTGTTGGTGCCAACTTCCAGGCCTCCAAAAAACGTCCGTGTCAACACGCTGCGTGCTGGCTTCGCACGTGTTGGCCCACGCGCGGAGGAGGAAAAAAGTACCCCTACCCCTACCCTTGGCCCGGTTTTCCTCGTGTTGGGCCTCCTGGGAGGCCCTCTCGCCGCCGCCGGTGGAGTCGCCTCGAGATCCTGGTCGTCACGCACCGCGTTATCGGTACCTTCTGGGGAGCAGCGGTATCGGTGCCTCCTGGTTCCCCACACGTTCTGGCGAGCGTTTCGGCAGGCCTGCGTGCTCAGTCGACGTGTCGAGCTCCGTATCAACACGCTACGTGTTGCGTGTTGCGTATCGGGCAGCCGAGCTACAATCCTGTCCAAATCACCGCCATCGCATTACCTATTCACCACATGGCGAAGGAAATTCACTATAAGTCGAAAGACGCGGCCCAGCTGGCTTCCCGTATTGCTCGCGCCACCTACCACTCGAGCGACTGGTGCTCCGCTCTTTTTTGTGCTTCGCACCGGATGCTGGCACCTGGATTCATCTTCGGTGTGCGTCGACCTCGCCTCCTCCTCCTCCTCCTCCCCCTCCTCCTCCTCCATCTTCTTCTTGTCCTCCTCCTCCTCCTCTTCCTCCTCCTCCTCCTCGTCCTCCTCCTCCTCCTCTTCCTCTTCCGTTTTTTTCCCTCCTCCCCCCCTCTTCCTCCCTCCAGGGCCGCGCCTCTTCTGCTCGCCGCGAAGGCCGTCCTGCGCTTACCTCTCAGTTGTCGGCAGCAGGAGAATTCGCCAAGGCGCAGCGTGGCCGTCCAGGCCCGCAGCGAGGAGGTGCAGGGACACATGGACAATGGAGCAACGCTGTGCCTCCTCCTCCTCCTCCCTCCTCCTCCTCCTCCTCCTCCTCCCTCCTCCTCCTCCCTTCTCCTCCCCTCCCCTCCTCCTCCTCTCTCCTCCTCCTCCTCCTCCTCCTCCTCCTCCTCCCTCCTCCTCCTCCTCCTCCCTCCTCCCTCCTCCCCTCCTCCCTCCTCCTCCCCTCCTCCTCCCCCTCCTCCTCCTCCTCCTCCTCCTCGTCCTCCTCCTCCTCCTCCTCTTCCTCATCCTCCTCTCCTTCTCCTCCTCGTCCTCCTCATCCTCCTCGTGATCCCTCCTCCACACATGTCAGGGCCAGGTGGCCGCCCCGAAGACCGCCGCACACGCTGCACCTCGCAGCCCCCCCCCTGCGGCGGTGGCCTCCACCCCTTCTGGCGCCTCTCGTCGCGTTGGAGAGGGCCACGGATGGCACTCCGTATGACAGGCGCAACAACACGGGGCCGTTTGCGCCGACGTTGGCGCGTAAGCTGCCCGCGTAAGGTCGCTTGCGTAAGCCGCCCGCGGCCCGCGTGAGCCACCGCGTAAGGTCGCTACGCCATCTCGCGTAAGACCCGTTTCTGAGAGTCTCTCATACAGGGCGTTCCCAAAAGGGCCTCGCCTTCGAGGATAGAAGGCGGTGTCCTCTCTTCCACAATGGAAGGCGGCGGAAGGTCGGCGGAAGGCGGCGGAAGTAAAAAACGTGGCCGCCTCCGCCGGCGGAACGGGGGTGGAAAGGGCGGCGGAAGGTGGCGGAAGTAAAAGATGTGCCCCCAAGAGACGAACACGTTTTTGGGTTCAGGGTTTTCGAAATTGCAAATATACGATGCTGGCCTGCCAACGGGTGCACGAGGATACTTTCGTCTCTCCCGATGGGGCCACGGGTCCTGGGGCACCTCATGAGGCTCAGGAACGACGCAGGATGTGCTCCTGGATTTCTTGTAGCACGATGTGGTGCCGTTGTGCTGGGAGGCTAGGATGCGTCTGCGGAAGCCTCCAAGAAGGCTCCTAGAGGCCTTTTGTGCGAGCGTCTCGCGGCCTCCAGGGGGGCCTCCAAGGGGACTTCTTGGGGGCCTGCTGGGCGCCAATGCGGGGCCTGTCGCAGGTCTCGGGGGCTATCTCGTGGTGGAGGGCTCCTGATGTCAGGTCGGGTTCCCCCTCGTGGGCCATTTTAGGGGCGCATCGGTTCCCCTGGGGGCCTCGGGGCGCATCGGGACGTTCTTTGGGGCATCTTGGGTCGTCCTGGGTTCTCAGAGGACCAGAAGCGAGAGCGTGTGAACATCATGCATCTGCATTTGGCGATTGTGTGTTGCCTCTTGAGCTGGCCCTCAGGCCCTCCAAGATGGCCCCGCAGGCCCCCAGAGGGCCCCTGGACGTTGCAAAGGTGATGGCGCTGGTGATTCTGACGACGACGATGATGTTGCTGCTGCTGCTGATGATGATGATGCTGATGATGATGATGCTGACGACGACGATGATGATGATGATGCTGATGATGGTGAGGATACTGATGACTCTGGCGATGGTGACTATAATGCTGATGATCGTGATGCTGATGCTGAGTATGATGATGGTTGTGGCGGTGGTGATGATAGTGGCACTTATATTGATAATAATTGTGTTGATGGTGTTTCTGGTGATGCTGCTGAAGTTTTTTCTGATACGATTTGTGATGGTGAGCAGGATGAGTGATTATGATGATGTTGCTGTTCAGAATGATGATGCTGATGCTGATGGTGATGATGATGATGCTACTGGCTCTGGGGATTATGATTATGATGTTGATGACGATGACGGTGACGACGACGATGCTGCTGCTGATGCTGCTGATGCTGATGATGGTGATACCGATATTCTGAGGAGAAGGACGATAATGCTGACAAAGGTGACGATGGTGGTGCTGATGATAAGCATGATGATGTTTATCATGCATCTGTTTAATACGCGATAATGTTTGGATTGGAGAACGAGGAGGAGGAGGAGGAGGAGGACGAGGAGGAGGAGGAGGAGGATGAGAAAGAGACAACGTACAACTTTGCCCCCTCAGCACCGCCTGTGCCAGACACTATGCATAGGGATCCGCAGAGGACTACAAAGGCCCAACTTCCTGCGCCTTATCACTTCTCGCACGGCGCCCCCTCAACTTCAAGTTGCCATCGCTGGTGGCAGCATTGTGAAATGCGACGGGGAGGAAGGGGTGGTGTGTCTTCTGGTTTGAGGAGGAGCAACAAGCATTTCTGCCCCCCCCCCCCGACCCTCCCTGGAGACCAGGGAGATGGCCCCAGCACATTTCAGCCTCGCAGTCACCGAGTGTGTAACCAGCTGGGCAAGCCCGTACCGTCAGCGCCAGCATTTTACTCGACACATTGCAGGTCAGCATACGTTACCGTTCACACGTGGCCAGCCACTACCGCCTGAGCCATCCACTCTACAGGTGCATCCTGCGTTCTCTTATGGAGAGAACTCGGCCGTTGATCCTGGCTCTCCTTTCCCCTGGCGTCGCAGAGGCAGAAGTCTCTACAGTTAAAGGGGGGGGGACAAGAGCCACGCTGGTGGCCACAGTGACAGGGACACCCCCCTTCAGGAACCGGCACGGTGAAAGGGGCCACCCCCCGAGGAGCCGAGGAGACACGGGCAGCAGCCCAAGACCTGCCACACTTCTCCTCTTCTGTTGCATGGCCGGCCGGCACAGCCTGCGTCAGCCCGGGCACACACTTGGGCTCAGCATGCATGCGCTCTCCCTCTCGTTCACAGTCCTCTCCCCTCGGCCCAGCTTTCTGTCGGGCCTGTCCCTCTGCAGGAGGGGTACCCAAAAAATAGTCAAAAACAATAGGTTGGGGACGATTGTTAGACAAGTTCCGGGCATGTTGAGAGTATCTTTTGAGCATTTTTATTTTGTCGCGCAAGATCCCCCTGTATGGGGGACGGGCCCGACTTGAGCCTAGCTGCAGTCGCTTTTCAGAAGCATGGCGCCATTCTGCGCGCTTGTCTCTGCTCAGCTTGCCGTGTCTGGAGGGATCTGGCTGTTGTCGGGGGATCTCGGGAGAGGGGGGGGAAGACGCGCACCCAGGTGCGACCCTGTGGAAGGGCGCTGCAAAGCCTAAACATATTTACATTCACACCCTCGCACTTATATCGCCGCGCTGCTCTCCTGGCGTCGCCTGTCTTTTTACGCTTACTCGCAGCGCACGCGTCTTTCGACCTCACCCTCACGCCCTCGCACTTACATCGCCACGCTGCTCTCCGTGCGTCGCCTGTTTTTTTCATGCTTACTCGCAGTGCACGCGTCTCTCGACCTCACCTCCTTCGCTCTCCTCCGCAGCCTGCGCTTTTTAGTTCAGGTTCACGGATCTGTCCTTCCCCTTTCCGCCATGCGGCCTGGCGGTCGCACGCTCTATGGCCTCAGGGCCCTATGCTCTTTTCGCGTCTCGCCGCCGTACTTTTTTTTTCAGCTGCGCCCGCCAGGCTTCAGCTTTGCCCAAGTTGGCATGCTGCATCTTTTCGCGCTCGTTCGCTAACGCTACCAGCTCGCCCTTCAAGTCCGATCGACGTCAAAAAAGGAAGCAACAGCGTGGTTAACCTCTCTCCCTGCCGATGCAGCTATCGGCTTGTTAATGGCAAGATCCACGACGCGAGCCGAACCTCTCCCCCTGCCGTCATCGTGCGCCACTGGGATCCAACAGCGCCGTTCGGACGTGCCGTGCTGGACGAGGAAAGGCGTACACAGAACTCGTCCATTGTTGTCGTTGTCGTTCTTATTTTCCTGCTCATTCCTTAGCTTTCTTGCCTCTTGTCGTCGTCGTCCTCCTCCTCGTTAGCCACTTCCTCTTTTTTCTTGTCCTTCAAGAGGGTTTGCTCCTCCACCCCCCCTCCTCCTATTTCCTTCGCGTGCGCCCTCGTCTCCACTCTTTTCTCCTCCTTCGAGCCACCGCTCTTGTTCCCATGCGTCTGGCCGCTCGAGTTTTGTAAGACGTGGGCCCCCAGACCCTTGCACCCCTTCTTCTCTAGGGTAGTTTTTTTTCATTCCCGGATGCTTTGTTGACGGACCAGTGGACCGATTCGAAGCCAAAGTGGCCCAGAATGGCGAGCAAGAATTATGTCCCGATTTTCGTTCAAGACGTTGGTGATCTGGTTTGCTGCGCTCCTCCCTGCGAGGGGATTCATGCCGATCCGGTCGACCCGATTTGCCATCGATTCTGGCCAGCTCGATCCGATCCTTTTCCGATCTTCGGGCGGTTTGAGGCGGCCCGATGCTCGCGTGGCGCTGTTGCGCATCCTGTTTACCAGCCTGGAACATATCCCTATTCCTATGTTGGACATCACCTCACCTCGATGCCGATCTCAAGGATTCCCTTAGGTTTTGAGGGCCTATCCCTAAGATTGTCCTCGCTTTTTGCTCGCCCATCTTAGGGATAGGGATACGTTCGAGGCTGGTTATCCTGTTGCGGCCCATCCGGCTCGACGTTGACCCCCGCGCCGAGGCAGCACGGCCCGACGCACGTTCTGGTCCGACCCAGTTTCCCGATTCGATGCCGACCTGTCCTTCGCGGGCGGACTCAGGGGAGCAGGATGAGTCTCAAGCAAGCAGTGGCGAAGCGTCCCGGCGCGCCTGGTGTTGCTAGAAGTGCCCCTGGCCCAAGGTGCCCCCAGGATTCCCAAGGAGGCCCCCACGGCCTCCAGAGCCCCCCTCACGAGACCATCGGGCCCCAGGGCTTTCAAAATTGAGCGAAAAGCTGGGGGTTACCTTGGGCCAGGGGCACCTTTAGCAACCCCCGAAAACAGTGTTCTAAGAACCTTTTGTGGTTCCCACGAAATGTTCTTGGAACATTTTCCTGGATGGGCCTGTCTTGTCTTAACACATCGGGTTTATGTTCTCAGAACAGTGTTTTTGTTCTTAGAACATTTTTGGGTTCTAAGAACACTTCGTGGTATGACTCTGGGAATGCCGGGGCGGTCGGTCCCTGCTCAAAAGTCGTTCCAGAGCGCTCTCTGGGTCGCTTGTCGCACGTTCCCGAGCTTTCTGGAACGGCCGAGGAGCCGGACGCAGCCGCTGCAACCGCTTGATCTCAGCGGTCCCCGACAGTTTCCGGTTCGACTCCGTCGTGCGCTTGGCTTCGTCCTGCCTTCGCTTCCCCTGAAGGCACACCCGCGCCAGGCAGAGAGGTCTGCCCGCACACGAAGGAGCGCACCTCGCGATCTGATCCGGCTTTCCGATTCGACATCGACCTGCTATTCGCTCTCCCCGAGGTTCGGGGACCCCCACACGGTGTGGTGATCACACCGTGTGGTGAGTGAGGTCGGTATCGCTGAACCGATCCCCATCCCCATCTCCGTCCCCTTCGAGACCCCCACCAAATTACCACCCCAGTTGGGGATGCACCCCTCGAGACCCGAAGGGAACGGCCCATGTCCCCATCTGGGGGGGTAAAAGTTGGCCAGTGGGGCCCAGGCCACGCCGCTGGGGATGGGGATCGGTGAAAAGATTAGGGGGCCAAGCTCCCGAGCGAAGTGAACCCCACCCTCCCCCTCAGAAATCGTGGGGGCTAGGGGTAGGGTTCGCATGTGGCCCCCTATCTGGACCACTTCTACCAGTACCAGATTCTCGTCCCAGCTCGGCTTTCCACGGTCCCGGGGCCCGGCAAGGGTCCCCAGACGCCAGATCGGGAGCCTCGAGACGGGGGTCCACGCAAACGAGGGTCAGCCAGAGCGCCCGATCCTGCAGGATCCTGCAGGGCCAGGGTCGCATTGGCCCAGGTTTGGGTGCAGGATCCTGCAGGATCTTGCAGGATCCTTCGCATTGACCCGGGTTGTGGTGCAGGAGCTTGCAGGATCTGGCAGGATTCTGCAAGGCCTGACTGACCAGGGTCTGGATTGACCCGGGTCAGCAGGTCCCCGACCAGAAACTACGCAATACCTCCGTCTTCATTTGTTTCATGCGCTGGAGGTCTGGGTCTGTCACCGCGCCGGACTCCCCAGGGCCCGTGCCCCCGCCACCCCTGCCCGCGGACCCAGGAGGAGGATCGGGGACTGATCCGGAGGACGGGGATCGAGGATCGAGGAGGAAGAGGAAGAGGAGGATCGAGGAGGATCGAGGAGGATCGAGGAGGATCGAGGAGCGAGGAGGAGGAAGAGGAGGAGGAGGAGGAGGAGGAGGAGGAGGAGGAGGAGGAGGAGGAGGAGGAGAGAGGAAGAGTTCGAGGAGGATCGACGAGCAAGGAGGAGGGGCGGAGGAGGAGAGGGGGAGGGAGGAGGAGGAGGAGGAGGAGGATCGAGGAGGAGGATCGAGGTACACCCTGATGTACTGCATGCTGATAGGGGCCACGCAGTCGAGCGGCGGCACGGCGAGCCCTCGGCCCCCGGTGGGGTCGTCGTTGCTGTTCTCCCCTCCCCTCCTCTCTCTCTCCTCCGCCTCTCTTCCTCTCCTCCTCCTCCTCCTCCTCCTCCTCCTCCTCCTCCCTCCCTCCTCCTCCTCCCTCCACTCTCCTCCTCTCTCCTCTTCCCTTCCCTCCTCCTCCTCCTCCTCCTCCTTCTCCGCTCCTCCTCCTCCTCTCCTCCTCCTTCTCCCTCTCTCCTCCCTCCTCCTCCTCCTCCTCCTCCTCCCTCCTCCTCCTCCTCCTCCTCCCTCTCCTCCTCTCCTCCTCCTCCTCCTCCTCCTCCTCTCCTCCTCCTCCTCCTCCTCCTCCTCCTCCTCCTCCTCCTCTCCTCTCCTCTCTCCTCTCCTCTCTCCTCCTCCTCCCCTCCTCCTCTCCTCCTCCTCCTCTCCTCTCCTTCTCTTTCTCCTCCCTCATCCTTCCTCCTCCTCCTCCTCCTCCTCCTCCTCTCTCCTCCTCCTGACTCTCCCTCCTCGTCCTCCTCGCTCCGCCTCCTCATCCCTCTCTCTCTCTCTCTCAGTCTTCTTCTCTCTCTCCAGTCTCGGCTGGAGAGCTCTGCTCAGATCGAGCCCAGACGCCAAGCGCCTGGGATCCCATCTTGCTCCCCGAAATCGGACGCGGCCCACCCCAGGCCGTGACAGATTGGCGTCACCTTCACCTTCAGTTCACGCGCGCGCTCCATGGCCCCCAGAGGTCCTCGCCGTGAGCGTGCCGTTCCTCGGCAGGCCAAGCCAACAGGCACGGGCCGCCAGAGTGAGGCTTTGCTGGACGGTTTCCTGGCCCGCAAGGTGGCCTGCGTCACCGTACTTCAAAGCAGTGGTGGCGTCGGCCGAGCACTCGCCGCGTACAACGAGCTTGCTTACAAACGCGAGCCGAAATCGGCATTGCACGCCAACACGTTCGCTCCAACCAGCCCAAGCTGAGGGGCGAGCTGATGAAGTTGCGATGGAAATCTGAGATCAGCTATACCGTGCTGCATTCTTCCCTGACGCGCACAAAGGGCTCCAACCGTGAGACCAAGGTCCACGGCCTCGGCCGATACGAACCAGGGCAGCGACACCGGCCCACTTTCCAGTCTTGATGCGCAAAACTGGGATGTCCCCATCGCCCTGGCGCCCACCAGGGCGGATGACAACACATCATACACCAGCAGCATCTGACTGCATACGCTAGAATAAGGAAACCGCCTCCTGCAGCAGCTCCACCTGCAGGATGAGCCCCTCCTCATAGCCGTCGTGGGACCTGTCAGCACCGACGACTCAGGAAACTAAATCGAAACCCCTGTTCTCCGCGGGACGGCAAGAGCTACCAAGCCCACTCCAGGCCAAGTCCAGGGCACCATATGCCAACCAGGACGCGCAGAGGTCAAGTGCCTACAGAACGTGATCCAAATGACACTGGACCCAACGGACACTGCTGTATGGAGCCGCGGAGCCACCTTTGAAACAATGCCATTGCTGTTGCACCGTCTCTCCAAGAGCTGTTCGCCTCACAGTTCTCGGGATCAGAGCCGACCAGCGGCAAACGGCAGCTGGGAGGGACAGGAACAGCCCGGTCCAGGGCCAAACATCTTCACAAGACAACCAAGCCTGACCATGCACGCAAGCACCTAGACGACGACCGCACCGACGCTTCCACAGCCATATTCACCTTGCATTTTCGCGCGGCCCCGATCCAGGAAGTCATGAAACTGCTAGGACGTCACGGCCTGATGACAGGCAAACGAAGGCTCACCGTGTCAATCGGCATCAGGCCAGCTGACATCCCGACAGTCCTCGCTGTATTTGGTCAAGGAAATGTCCAGTTCGACATCGGTTACCGTGGCATGAAGGGACCTGCACCAAGTGAGTACGTCACCATGTAGTACCAGGGTGGTCTCTCGACCACGCTGCATGTGGGCCACCAGGCATCTCGAAGGCTCTTGGCCTTCGGAGCCGTCCGTGCCGACAAAGGGTTGGCATCTGTCTCAAACCCAGCGCCGTGGAGCCCAGAGAGGTGGCCGTCGATCTTCATTTTCTAACGCCACATATCGAATCACAGGCATCGAGCCCCAGAGTGTCACTAATGCGTAAATTGCCAAAGTACTCGCGTCCCTTACTGGGCATTATGAAGTCCGATGCACAGGTTTGGACAAGGCAGCTAGGGGCGATTTTGCTACTGTCGAAGCGACAACGGCTCCACCTGACCCCGCCGTCCATGTCTGGGGCTGAGGTATTCCACGGGCCACCGCGCAGGTGGAAGCGGCCGCCAAGGCGGAACCGCCGCAGACCCCGACGGAAACATTTGCCAGAAGGGTCGCCACCAGGCGGCCCGGGCGCCAGCGCCATGCCGACCCTACATAGCAGGGCTGCCGCCAGGACGTGCCTCCAAGCATTGCTGACACTACCGTCCACCAGCAAAAATGCCGGCGGGCCGCAGGTGCACCGCGGCCAAGGAAGAAGCAGCGCGGTGCCAGCGTGAACGGAGCACGCCAACTTTCTGTCAGCGTCGCTAGGTGCGCCGCGGACCCTCACGCGAGCGGGGCGGCTCCGCGGCCGCCAGGGTCCCGCCGCAGCAAGAAGGGGCAGAGGATCTCGTCATGTCCGATGCCGACATCAAACTCGAAGGCACCGACGCGCTTCTGGGTCCCCCCAGGGTTGGCCGCGAGTCACCGTGCTAAGAAGAGGACGCCGACGAAGAGCCGAAGCCAAGCATGCAAGACATCTCGGACCAGGCCGACGCCCGCTTCCGCGGCCTTGAAGCAGATCAGCAGGGAGTGGCCGACATTGTGCAGCGAGTTGAAAACACGGCCACCAGCGTGGCTACGCGGTCCGACAGGTCCGGCAGGTCCCACAAAGCACACAGGTTTGAATGTTTCGCAGGGGCCGCAGAAAACCCCCAGGTCCCACAGGTCCCGCAGGTCCCGACGGTGCCGCATGTCTCGTAGTCAGGTTTCGCAGGCCCCATAGGTCCCACAATTCCCAGAAGGTCCCACGTGTCCCCCAGGTCCCACAGGCCCCACAGGTGTCGCAGGCCCCACAGGCCCCACAGGCCACAGAGGTCTCCCAGGTCGCACAGGTTCCAAAGTTCTCGCACGCCCGGTTCCCCACGTGCACTTTTCCTACCTGCCCTACAGGTTGCACGTGTCGCACGCGCTCTATTAGTCACAGGCTTTCCGATTGCGCATAACATGATAGAGGTTTTCGTGGAGTTCCAGGTCGGCAGTGACACGCGTCCGCAGATAGAGAAAAACAGCGCAACGGGCACGGATTGGAGAGGGGGATAAGATGCTAGGCGTGGCGCGAGAGCACCTAGCTTGTCTCTCGCCTCTTCTCTCTTCTCTCTTCTTCCTCTCTGTCCTCTCTCTCTCTCCTCCTCCTTTCCTGCTCCTCGTCCTCGCTCATCTGACATGCTCTGCTGCCGTTCCGCATAGACGCCGGCGCGTGCGTAACGTGCGCTAGTGAGTTGAAAAGCCCGCGTCCTACATCTTATTGCCGCAATGCTTTCTCTCGTCCAGTTCCCCGGCCCCTGCAATTCTAGTTGGTGGCGGAGCTGGGGGCGATCCCAGCCTGCGATCCACGGAACGTGCGCCGAGTGCGATATGCACGCACCTCCACCTCCACTTTCGCATTGGTGCCGCCGTCCAATCCTTGAGCAGCTTTGGCTTATGGCTTTTCTGCCAACCTGCAGGTCATTCGCCCTGGGCGCCCACAGGCGAGCAGCAGTGTTCGAGTCTCTTTTAGGATCCGGCTGCGAGGGCAAAGGCAGCTGCGGGCTACTGCGCGATGGTGAGCATTCGACCATGGGAACGCCGTGACGCCTCCCATGACCCATCGCACCCCGCTGGTGCAGGCCGCAGCGCCGCGTCGGGCATGACGGCGAGGCTCCTCCTTGGGTTGGTGCCGCACCTCGTGATGCGGGCGACAGTGCTGGCTGCCCCTACAAGCGCGTCGCCTCAATCGAGTGGAGCACTGAATAACGTTGCAGTTGGCTGAGGGGGCGCCAACTGTCCTTCGGTTTAAAAATTAGCATGCGGAAAAATATTCGAGCCGGGTGCTCTTAGAAAGTTCAGGTTTAATGTTGCGAGGGCCCTGGAGTCTGGAGAAAGTCTGGATAAAATTCGGCGGCGAACATGTTCCACATATCCAGAGCGTGTTTGAGTTTCTCGTGAACCACAGACTTGGTTTCGAACTCTGTCTGGACATGTTTGCTAATGTTTCACAACTTTCCAACTTAGTTTGAATTTTTGAACTGTTCGATTTTTACCAGATTTTTTAAGAGCTTTGCAGAATTATTTGAACAGCTTTCGGTGCCCCCTGGATTTTCGAATTTGTTTCGAACTTTTGTTGTCCTTGGTTTCCGAACTCGAGCATCTAACTTCCCCCCCGCTTGAACTCAAGTCCTAACGTCAATTTTTCCAGGGGGGGCCATCTCTTCCTTCATCGGCCAATCTCAATGCTACCGCACCATTTTTACAACCCTTGGCTTCGACCAAGGCTGTCAGCACCACTGCAGCTGCCCCCAACTCGGACGCGGCGTTGGTCGCCGCGCAGGCCCGAGTCCCAAGGCGTTTCCGCAGCTCTCATCACTCATCGCGGAGGATCTCCATTTTGACGTCCTGGAGCAGCATCCCCATGTTTTTCGCGGTCTCGCTTCTCTGGCCCGCAGGCGTGATGCTGTGCCGGGCCGGCCCGCAGGGCGGCGGGGTGGGTTTCGGAGAGATCGCCGCCAGCCAGCCGGCCTCATGGCCACCCGGGCGCGACTCGGTGTATCCGTTCCGTCACTGGGTGCGCGACCTCCTAGCGTGGAACGCGCTTGCCGCCAACGTGGATGCCGCCCGACAGTGCGCGGCCATCATCCTCGACCTCGGCGGGGCCGCTCGCGGGCTTGCGAGGTCCATGGGCTTCGCGGAGATGACGAAGGGAGGCGTAGTCAATGGCCAGCGCGAAGACGCCTTGGCCAACTTCGTCGCGAGCTCCGCCCATCAGTTTGGTCCACTGGGCAAGGGGTCGCGCCTCCAGGCCACCCGCGAGCTCTTCGAGTTCCCGAGGCGCCGCAACGAGGCCGCCCATGCGCTGCTCTCGCGGCTTCTCCCTCTGCGATCCCGAGCTATGCGCGACGGTGGAGCCGCGACGTCCTGGGTGGGCTACGGCTGCCTGCTCCTCCGAGCCGTCTGCGTCGCAGAGACGAAATTCATCATGCTGCTCCAGCCCCGCGGCAGCCGATGTCCAGCCGCGGAGCCTGAGTTCAACAGGTCTACGACGATGCTCGCGCGCGTGGGTCGCGTCGTGGAGCATGCGCCGCGCGGCATCGCCAGCGGCCTTCGTTCGTCGCCATCGTTCTGAGGCTTCGCGGGCGTGGCCAGCGGCAACAGTCAAGCGCTTGTCAGGCAGGGGGAAAGGCAGGCGCCGCAATCCCCGGGGGTGCGAGGATGCCAGCATGATTTGTAGCATCTATGGAAGTGAATGCAACGTTCGTGCAGAGTGCCCTCCAGGCACCTCATCATCACCGCGAGGCAGTGGCAGCGGCGGCCAGTCTGGAGGGCGCGCGGACTCAGGACCCATGGACAGCGCCCTGGACCGAGGCCCGTTGGCCAGTATCTCAGGTATCTCAGGAGTTGGCTTCGCGGTCATTGGGGGCCCCTCTCGGCCTCGGCCGTTCAATTCGCGCATCTCTGGCATGGCCGGCTAGCGCAGGCTGCCCAGTCAGACCGGCCACGCCGTCGCGGGCTGAGCACGTCGCCGAAGTGGAGCGCCTCGATCAGGGCCAATGTCGCGCGCGCGTGGAGACCGAGCGTGGCGCTCGAACCAAGCGGCGACGTGCCCGCCGACGTGGTCGTGCCCGACAGATGATCAACATGGCCATGGCTGACCTTTCAACCATGGCATCGCCGCCACTACTGCCATCGGATCCTTCTTGCCTGGCCAGACGTCGCAGGGATAGAAATAGAAGCCGATGAAACATGTGCGGTATCCATTCGGACCAGTGCGTCAACTTTGACCTTGAGGCTCTCCTTCAATGTGGCCACCGCTTCCATCTGAGCTGTGCCGACGCCAGGCCGCCACAGGCGACGACATTGCCCGGCTGCGAGCAGCAGAATAGGCACCTCGTGGCGACCAGGGTCGAGCACCCTTCTCGCGCTGCCCGACGTGCAGGCAGCGCTTGGTGGCGCGCGAAGTCACGCACATCCAGGTCTACACCGCGCCCCGCGTGGCATCTGACGTGCACGTAGCACCCGAGGTCGCGCCGCGAGACTCTCCAGCGGGCGAGATCACTGTCAGCGCCCCATGCGCCCACCTGGGGGCAGCAGCCGCTTCGAGGCTTGCCGCGAGGAGCTGAAGCCGACGCGACTCCCTGCTGGCCCGCCGACGGTTCGGCCAGTGAGTATGGCGCTCAAGTGCAGCACAGCCGTGCCCAGCCCACCTCTGTCGAGCTCAGGGCCATCGTGGGCCCAGGTGCGTGGGCCAGCCTCAATGGGCGAAGCGCTTGCGCGGCATCTGCGCCGTCGAGCCCCGGAGGCTGGGCGCTGGCCGCAGCAGCTCCCCATGAGCAAGCCCTTGGGCACCCGGGGAGGTGGCAGCGGGGCTCGGGAGTGCACCCATCAGGTGAGCACCCCCGCAGCCGTCGCGGATGACCAGGGCCGAGCTACCACCCACGGCATCACGACACCCATTGTCAGTTCCAGCTTTTCCACCTCTGTCCACCTCCGCTTTCTGTTCGCAGGCGATTTCTCTCCCCCGGTCCCCGAGATCCCCCCCAAACAATTGACCGCGGAACTGGGGGTTACACGCCACGCTGGGGGGCTAGTCGGACGCTCCTCTACCGAGAATGGGCGCCCCCTCATCATATACACCTCCGAGTCGGGCCTCAAATTTCTGGTCCTTCCGAAACCCTGGAAGAGGTCAGTCGGATTCGGGCTAGTGGGTGTTTCGCCAGGGGGATCTCAAACATGTACGCAGTTCGTGCATTCGTTCGTGCGGAACACGCACGCCGTACAAGATCAGCACGTGGCTGCCACGTTCCTTGCGCCACATGATGAACTAGTGAATTTGTTTTTTGCGACCCCATTGCGAAAGACTCCCCTTTCCCCAGAACCAAGTTTGGGATCGGAGTCACCATACCCCCTCTGATATTTGCTCGTTTGCCAGCGACCTGCCTCCTTGAGCCTTCCCCCCCGCGCCTGCTTCTGTCCCCAAGAGTGCTAGAGAGTGGCATCCTGCCCCCTCCAAAATGCTGGCCAGTTTTTCGTTCGACTTCTGTTGCCAGCCTGAAACATACCCCCATCCCTGTTTCGTTTTTGCGCTTTGGGCTGGTCGTCGCCTCCCCTTCGGCCCCGTCTTTTTCTTCTCCCTCGGTCACTCGTCGTCCTGCGAGGGGCGCGCGAGGTCAAACGGGGGGTCGACCCCAGCTTTGGCACCGTGGAAAAAATCGGACACAGACCCATCCCTGTGACCAGCATCGCCTTGGGTTCGGTGCCGATCTTGAGGCTCCCTCCGGTTTCCTGAAACCTCCTCCTCCTCCTCCTCCTCCTCCTCCTCCTCCTCCCGAGACTGACCGTTGTCTCGGGCTGGCCGATCTCCGGTGGAAGGACCACCTCGACGCCGGTTGCTCGGCGCGGGCCCCGCCCCCGGTCTGCCTCGAGTGGCGCCGCGCCCGGAGGTCCACTTCCACGCGGCCTCGCACGGCGACAAGCTCTGAGGGGCGCCGCGCTCCCTCCGAAGGGGGGGGCCTGCCCAGGACCACCGCCTGGGGGAGGAGGAGGAGGAGGAGGAGGAGGAGGAGGAGGAGGAGGAGGAGGAGGAGGAGGAGGAGGAGGAGGAGGAGGAGGAGGGATCCCTCTTCAGAGACGCCGGCGGCCGGCGGGCACGGACACACGTGTGGCCCCCCCCCGGGGCCTGGACGCAGCCATGTCCCCCGCCTGCCGAGTGGTCCGAAGATCGGCTCCCCCAGGCGGTGGTCATGGATAATCCTCCTCCTCCTCCTCCTCCTCCTCCTCCTCCTCGTCCTCCTCCTCCTACTCCTCAGCTTCCCGCCTCGCACCTCTGCCCTCCTCTCCCCCCTCGCGCACGGGGGCTCATCCGTATCCACTGGCCCAGGGACGTGCCCACGAGGATCTCGCGGAGCGCTGGGCGTCGGCGCTTCTCGTCCTCGGTTTGTGGGAAGGCAGGTCTCGAGGCCTGACGTTCCGCGATATCCTCGGGGGCCTCGCTGCAGTGGTGGGTAGCGCCAGCGAAACGCGACACGCACGCGCACACACATGCCACTGACCCCACCGCCACCGCATGACCAAGAATTCATCACACTGCAAGCCGCCTATTCATCACCATGGCGACAACAATCACGGATAAGAGCAAACATATTCAATTAAGGCCCTTGCCAAGCGGGGGCACGTCTCCAAATCGGTGGACGTGGGCGCAGACATCAAACGATGTGATTTGGTCAGCTCGCATCTCCAGAGCTCGCGACCCCTTCCTATGGAGCAGTTGTTCGTCCAGGATCAATTTGTAGTGGCCACCTTTGGGGCCCTTCGAGCCGCCGTCTTGGACCTCTTCTGAACCCTTCTTGGGGCTCTCTTGGGCGATCGTTGGGCCATCTTGAGGCTTCCGAGGCCTATCGGAAGCGAGCGGCGGGAAGCCGAACCACACAGAACACATGTTTATGTTGTTTGAATGCTTTGGCCTCTCGGGGGTCTCCTTGAAGCACTCCGTGGCCACGTGTAGCCGTCTTGAAGTGGTCTTGGGGCCTCTTGCAGGCATGTTGAAGGGTATCTTGAGCCATCTTGGGCTATCTTGAGCCATACTAGAAGCCATTTTGGGCTATCCTAGGCCCTCCTGGAGTCATCTTGTGGCAGTTTGGACGCTCTCGAACGCCTTGCGCCATCCTCTCGTCCAGACCCAGGGGAGGGTGATTCGGGGAGGGGTAGGCCCCTTCCCGCAGGAGAGGAAGGGGGATGGAAACGGAAGAAGTCCTCTGAGCCACCTGCGCCCACAGGGCTTGTGAAGAACGCCGAGATGGAAACGATTCATCCGCCAGAGAGCCTGGATCCACACTGGTGAGCGTGGATGAGATCCCAGGCCGTGGGCTCCACCCTGGCGCCTCCTGCTGCGGAAATCGGGTCGGACGAAAAGGGGGGATACAGTGAAAACCCATGCCAAGCATCACCCTGCTTTCCTTCAGGGTGCCATGGGTTTCTTGGGAATCGACGGTTTTGCTGTGGAGCGTGACGCTCCCATACCCAAAATCCATGGACGTCCTGGGGGTCCCTCATGCGTGTAGCCGATACCCCCCTTGCGACGTCTTGATTTTTTCAATGCGAGGTTCCCGGAAGTCTCGACCGATTTCCCAGGGCCGTCTTTTCACCCATGAGTCGTTCTTTGACGGTCCTGGGGCATGGTGAGGCCCCCAGATGACGAAATTGCCAAAGACCGCCCGCCGTTTTTTTCCCAAACCATCCTGTGGTGTTGGGGGTCCTTGTTTTGAAGCGACGGCGCCCCGCGTCTCCTTCCTTCCCTCCTTCCTTCCTTTCTTCCTTCCTCCTCCCTCCTTGCTCCCATCCCTGCCTCTGCCCTCCGCGTGGTGTTGGGTCCTCGTGTTGAAGAGACAGCGCCCCGCGTTGCTTCTCCTCCTCCTCGCCCTTCTCCCCATCCTTACTACTGCTCTCCGTATGCCAACCATTTCGAAACACACACACACACACGCACACCACACACACACACCTTCACACCCACCCACCCACCCACCCACCCACCCACCCACCCACCACCCACCCACCCACCCACCCACCCACCCATGCACGCAGACACACACGCACACCACACACACCTTCACACACACACACCCACACACACCCACCCACCCACCTACCCACCCATCCATGCACGCACGCACGCACGCACACACGCATGCACGCACGCCACCACGCACAGCGAGGGCACGTGCAAGAGCAGCTCGGGGGAGCACACGGCTCCCTGGAGCACGAGGTCAGCAGCCAGCGGATGTGTTGCACGGCCTCGGGTGGAGCGAAGCCGACGACGCGCGGAGCACGGGCGGCCGCCTGGAGAGCGAGACCAGGGACAAGATGAGCCTGATCAGCCGCGTGGAGGCCGTCGGTGACGGCCAGCGGGAGCTCGATGGCAACATGGCGAGCGAGACCGACAACCGCGGGCTGGAGCCGAGTCTGGGTCGGGTCGGCCTCCACAGCTTCGAGCAGGAGCAGGCCAGGGCTCAGCGGGCTCAGGAGGCGCCGGCAGAGGAGGCCCCCTCTCACATGGGGCACCCAGCACCCGCTGCCCCAGAGCGGGACCAGGCCATGCGCGACTACCAGGGCATGCGCCACGACCTCCGCGACTGGGCTGCTCACAGGTTCCATGGCAACACCCTCCAGGTGACCGACGAGGCCAGCCGGCAGGAGCAGTGCGAGGAGCTCCTCAGCGCGATGTTGCTTGGGGGAACAACCTCCCGTTGCTAGCCATCTTGCAGTGCTGGTTCCCTGGGCGGCCGCTGGGATCCGTCATCGCGGACCTGTGTGCCAGCGCTTGGAGGCAGGGCGCGAGGCGGCGACAGAACCACTTCGATAGGTTCGTCGAGGCGGGTCGACGGCTGCCGCCGCTGCAGCCCCCCCCCTGGCCCACAAGTCGTCGTATCGGAGCCTCTTGGTGGCAGTCCTTCTGCGCAAGCGAGTGGTTGTCCAAAGGGCGGGTCCCTGGCGGGACCTGCGCCTCGAGGTGCTGCGGTTGCGACGACCGCTGTGTGGCCAGGGCGTGAAGGGCAGCGGCCCCCACAGCGACCGCGAGGCGACGTTCGACTGGTGCCTGGTGAGCATCTGAGTGGCTCGGCCACAGGAGGTGAAGCGCGTAGTGGAGCGTCGCGGGGACTACCATCGCAGCGTACGGGGGTTGATGCCGAATCTGAATTGGGCCAGCTAGTATACAGCCGCGGGCACTACCATCGCAGTGCACGTGCCTCGGGGCCGCGGAGGGGCCAGCCCGACACCAAGACCGTGGTCTATCGCGACGGGATCACTGTCCAAAGTCCCGAGGAAGCCCCCGCGGGAGGGAACGCCTCAGGCACGAAATCGCCGCGTCGAGCTGGAGGCCCCTGAGCGCAACGTCTTGAGAAAAACCCCAGTGTGGGGAACACCTCGGGCTCAATGTCGCCACGTGGAGCTGGGGCATCGAAGCAGAACAAGTTCGACCGCGTTCTAACCGAGGCCGGCGTGAGGGGCATGACCAGCCGCGTGGAGATCGCGGGCGACCGCCAGCATGAGGTCGCCGGCAGCAGGGTTAATTTTACGGATCACATGCTGGGTACGTTCGGCCACGTGGATAGCGAGATCGGGAACATGGGGGACCCGACCAGCCGCGCGGAGGTCGGGAGCGACGGCCAGGGAGAGAGCATCGGTGACGTGGCGAGCGAGACTGACGACACGCCGAAAAGGCGCAGCCGCATGAGGAGCGAGATTGAGAACATGATGATCATGTTCAACTGCGTGGAGGTCGTTGGCGACAGCCAGCGGGAGCTCGTCGGCAATGGGGACTGCGCGCGCTAGGACGCAGACCATCAACGTCAGTATGGGCCACATGGCGGACACGTGTTGCACTGCAGACAGGATCGGCAACGTGGCGCGGGCGTTCGACAGCCGGGCCGATCGATGCGGAGAGCAGGCGCCGTGGCAAGGTGCGGCGGACCGCAGTGCGCAGGCGCCAGTACCAGGCGGCCGTGAACAAGTTTCAGGCCTCGGTGCATTACTTGGCCCCCATGGGCGGCGTGGGCCACACGATCAAGAGCCTCGTGATGCGGGTGCTGGAGGCGCCCCTCGCCATCGACACCGTCAGGGCCCTGGGCGCCATCGAGGCAGCGGCCAGCGCTCGCGCAGATGAGTGGGAGCAGGCCTCATGAGCGAGCGCAGCCGCAAGTGCAAGCTTAAGCTGGGAGAGAAATGCCCATGCTCGGCAGGTCTGCTGCACGAGGTGTGCGCCTGGAAGGCCGCGAGGGGCCCTCCTCGGGGCTCGGTCAGCAAGCGGCCCTTGGCCACCCACCCGCAGCGCGCGGTGGGGCCGGGGGCGGCCGAATTGGTTTGCGCGTGGTAGGCCGAGCGTGGCCCGCGCCGCAATCTTCGGACTGCGGCAGGACGGGGCATGGGGGGGGCGATGCCGATCGGTTGATGGCGGTTTGCAAGGCGCGCCGAGAGCGCGCTGGAGTCATAGGCTGGCACCCTCGCCACTGGAGCTGGTAAAGCAGCGACCTTCTGGACTCATTTGGTGGCCAGACGACGTTCGCCGCCTGGTCATCTTCATCCTGGGCAAACTCGATGTAGGTGGCAGGCCGATCTGCCTGCTTCCCGCGCCCGCGCGTGCGCGGGGGGGGCGCTCGGGCCGCCCGCGTGGGGCGCTGGGGGCAGGGGCTGCGACTGGGCAGCCCCGCGCAGACGGGGCGAGCAGGCAGTCGGGCGGGTCCTGCTGGGCGACGGGGCTGGCCTCGGGGGCTTTCCCGCACCCCCGCTGCGTCGGGCGGGTGGGGGGGGCAGTCGCCGAGCCCGTCGTCGTGCTCGTGGGGCTGCCAGCGGGATCCAAGTATTCGAACGAGCTGCTGAATGTCTTCCGCTACTGGGCCCTGGACCTGGTGCACAAGGCTTCCCGCTCTCGCGCGTCGTGAAGTGCGTGGGCGACGTCGCCCTGGGAATGCTCCGCTCGGCCCAGCGCCTCAGGGCGGAGTTCGCGGGGGCGCCCCAGCTCTTGGCGGTCGTGCTGGAGGTGGTGATTGCCCCCCCCCCCCCCCCCTGGCAATGGAGGCCCAGCGGCAAGGGCTTGGCGAGCGCCGCGGAGGCCGAGGAGGTGCTGCGCGAGGCCATGAAGCGGTTCGGCGTTTTCGAGGGCAGCGCGGGGGCGTGGGTGGGCATCGACTGCAACCCGCGGCCAGCCCGTCGTCGGCGCGCCCGCCGCCAGCGGCGCCTAGCGGCCGCCCGCTCGAGGTGGCGCAGGGCAGCTTGGCTCAGGTTGCGCG